GCTTCAGATTCTGTGTCTCCTTCTCTCTCGGCCCCTCCCCTGCTTATGCTGTGTCTCTCTCTGTCTCTCAAAAATAAATAAATGTTTAAAAAAATTTAAGGATACTAGAAAAGAGTTTTAGTGAGCATAAATCATCTTTGGCACAACCGAACGTTGCGAGCGAAATTACCTTGCAGAGAAGAAAGGAGGCGTAAGAACCTTTGAACTACTTCTTGCTTCAGAAAGTTTTTATGCAGCAGCCGGTTTCCTGAGTTCATGTACTTGACCAGCTGCTCAGTGGCCTTCCGGAAAGTGTCGGTCTCACTAGCGGGTCCATCACCATTGGTCAGTCCTACAAAACAAGCAGACGACGCTTCTGAATACAGGGACCACAGCCGTGGCAGGTTGCAAAAACCACCCCAGCTCTCCACCCCTCCGTGTACGCCCGTGCTTTGCCAGGTGGCTTCGCATCACCTTCCATCAAGAGGTGGAGCCTTTTCTCCTCTCCACCCTGGCTTCTGGCCTGGCTTCTGGACTTCTAGAATGCAGTGGGTGTGATTTTGATGCTCGTTCTGAGGCGGGGTCTCAAGAGGCCTGGCTTAGTTCTATTTGCTCTCTTGAGACCCAGGCCTCTGCCATGGGAATAGGTCCAGTCTCGTCCTTGGGGGGGACAAGAGACAGTGTAGAACAAAGAGGCATCAGTCCAGCTGTCCAAACTGAGGCTCCATAGACGTGAAAGGGCCTGGCCGAGACTGGCACGTCCACAGACACTTGGAGGAATTCAGTTAAAGCTACGAGAACATGGGGCGCCTGGGTGGTGCAGTCGGTTAAGCGTCCGACTTCAGCCAGGTCACGATCTCGCGCTCCGTGAGTTCGAGCCCCACGTCGGGCTCTGGGCTGATGGCTCAGAGCCTGGAGTCTGTTTCCGATTCTGTGTCTCCCTCTCTCTCTGCCCCTCCCCCGTTCATGCTCTGTCTCTCTCTGTCCCAAAAATAAATAAATGTTGAAAAAAAAAAAAAATTTATAAAGCTACGAGAACAGCCCAGCCTAAACTACTGACCTACAGGATCATGAGCGAAATAAACGCTGGTTGCGTCACGAGACTACATTTGGGGAGCGATGTGTCACATGGCTATAGATAACCGACATAACAACGGTTCAGGGAAGTAAGACAGCAAGAGGAGGGCTTAGCACCACAGTAACATCCAACCATACCCCAGCCACCCGTGAGTCTTACTGGCAAGCAGGAAAAAGCCAAGAGGAAGGAGCCACCTCTCTGGCCAGAGAATGGAAGACAATACCCCCTTGGTTCCATTTACTTGAGAAAGTCGCCATGATTAGAAAACCTCCGCGGAGACAATGTTGAAAAGGGCAAATGTTTTATTTTGCTATCAGGTGATAACTCAGAAAGCACTCGTGCTTACAACGGAATCTTACTGAGCACGTAGGATGTGTGTTTTCACACCCAGTGGAAAGGGCCTGGCCCACGGCGTCAAGTGCCATCACATCGTGCAGAGACGAACGAATATTCAACGTCCTGTTCTAATAGAGCAGGGATGCTTTAAAAGAGATGAACTAGTTGAAAATGAGAAAAAGATTGAAAGCATCCTGTCTTCATCAGCTTCCCCAGCAGCAGGCCCCAAGTCAAGGATTTGTGTGCAAGCTGTTCATGAAGGAGGCGACCAGCGGAGAAATGGGGGAAGCAGATTAGGGGTCAGGGAGGAAGCCAGGTGGCCTTGCCTGAACCCACAGGGGAGCTCCAACGTGAGTACTCCTAACAGGGGTCCCCATGAGAAGTCAGGGAGATGGGCTTTCAAATGCTCACCTCAGTGTGTCAGTGGCTACAGGTTGCCCTGAGAGTGTGTAAATTCCCAAGCACTCCTGGTTTGAAGGAACACAAGCAAAACTGGCTCCATAAGCTGGTCTCCTTGAGAGCAAACCTTGGGTGTTGGCTTCCCAAACTGAAGGCACAGCATGTCAGGGAGCACACAACAATGGTGAAAGGGACCCAGGATCCAAGCACAGTTCCAACATTATCTGCTGTGCCTTCTGACACACACCTGGATCCCCTTTCAACACATCAAGTCAGAGCACCAGAAACACACACACATATACACACACAGCAATACATACTGACATCGGGGACAAACGCACTTTGACCTCTACTCAAGAGACCTCCAGGTGCGAGACAGAAGCAAGACCCACTTTAGCACCATCCTCCACAGAAAAAGAAATGGAAACCACGTGACAAAGGAAGAGCTACATCACCTCAGCCAGAGACCCAGGAAACGTGTATGTGGTGTAACACTGACTGACTAGCACCCCCAGATCGGCCCTCCCAAGTTCATCCTAAGATGCCAACGAACACACAGAAAACAGTGAAAATTCATAGAACAACACAAAACAACAGGACCCTTGGAAAAGGAGCAACTTCCATCAGTCTCGTGTGCCCGACCTCACGCCATTAACAGCTTTTCTAGAACATCATTCTTCCACTAGGGAAATTAGTATAAAAGTCTTCTTGAAACTGAACAGAAATATACTAAGCTTGACAATACAGGCAATTAGATGCGGTTGTATAATAAACGCATGGTTGTGTGGTTCTGAATAGTCAAGCAGTGGGTCAGAGAAAATTCCACATGTCAGGAAAGACCAGAGAATGATATCAACAATGTAAAGGTGTGTAAAAGGGGGCGCCTGGGCAGTTCAGTCGACTAAGCGTCCGACTCTTGGTTTCACTCAGGTCGTGATCTCGTGGTCTGTGAGTTTGAGCCCCACATCTGGCTCCGTGCTGACAGTGCGGAACCTGCTTGGGACTCTCTCTCTCTGCCTCTCTGTCAGCTCGTGCTCTCTTTCTCTCTCTTTCCCTCTCAAAAATAAATAAGTAAACTTAAAAAATTGTTTAAAAAGACACATAAAAGGAAAGGTGCTAACACACTGATGATGGTATTTCTGGGCAGACACAGGCGACTTGCTTATTACTCTGAATCTGTTTTGTTCTAAATTCTCCATAAGCTTAATAAGAGACAAGAGAAACATCAGAATATAAAGTTGCTTATACATTATAATCACAGATTTTTTTTATGATGATTATGTAAGTGCTGAATAACAAAAAACGACTGGATAAAATATGCCAAAGTATAATTACAATAAATGTTTGTTTTTACATAAAACTCTGTTTTTACAAATTTTCTACAATGATCAGGTTTACTAGATATATATATAAGCAGATTTAAAATTAAAAGTTGGGGTTAAGCGTCCGACTTCGGCTCAGGTCACGATCTCACGGGCCCCGCATCGGGCTCTGTGAGGACAGCTCAGAGCCTGCAGCCTACTTAGGATTCTGTGTCTCCCTCTCTCTCTGTCCTTCCCCCACTCGTGCTCTGTTTCTCTCTGTCTCTGAAAAATAAATAAACATTTAAAAATTTTTGGAAAAAAATTAAATTAAATCAAAACTTAGAACGAAAAGAGATCTTCTGGAGTTGCAATCGTGCTCAGAAGTGTTAGAACATAGAAACAAACCATTTCAGAAAGAGATTTCGTTTTTGCCTGAAATTCTTCTTTCAAGCTAAAAAAGGCACAACTGGTTAAATTTTAGTACACACATTTTATCAATTTAAATATATGTACTCATGTCACTTTTACAAAAGAAAAGAAAAATGCATAACCTTAAAAGCATGGAATAAGACTAAATGACCAAATCACAAACATATTAATTTGGGGGGGGGGGAGGGAGGTAAGTTTATGGAAAATTAATATTTTCTTGTTTTCCTTTTCTATACTTTGTGAAATTTTTAAAAAGAATACATTGATTTTTTAATAAGGAAAACGTATCAGGAACATCTTTTAGGTCGATTCCTGTATGTATGAAAATGGGGCACCATCTCGGTGCTGAGGGCTGGTAAGATGAGAAACCAGGGCCTCTGAGCCCCAAGTTCCGTCTACGGGGGAAGCCCACACACACAGAGAGAAGCTTCTCGTGTCCTCCGAGTGCTGGGCACAACACAACGTAGCTGGCTCCCACTGGAGCCCTGGAGGGAAGGCCTCAGAGGCCTGGAATGGTCCTCATTCTAAGTGAATCAGATAGTACAAAATGAAGAAAATGAGGGCTCCGGTCCTGAGGAGAGAAGAGCGACGGCGGCCAGAGCGGTGGGCCTGCCGCCACCTGGTGGTGGCCGTGAGAGGCAGGGAAAGGCAGTTAAGAGTGTCCCTCGCCAAGGTTTCAGTTACACGGTCGACGGTCGACTGCAGTCCAGAAACAGACGGTGCTCCTGCTCACAAATCGGCAGAAGGTCCGTAGTACCCTAAGGCTCTGTCGCAGTGCCCACCTCAGACTCACGTCGCCTCGTCAGGCAGGCGTTTTATCGTCGCACATCATCACAAGAAGGGCCAGAAGAGTACAAATAAAGTGTTTTGAGAGAGCGAGAGAGACCACATTCACCTAGCTCTTCTTACAGTCTAGATTGTTATAACGGTTCTATTTAATATGAGTTATTGTTTTCAATCTCCTGCTGGGCCCTGATTAAACTTTACCATAGGGATGTATGAATAGGAAAAAACATAGGACATCCGGGGTTCAGTACTGTCCACGGTTGCGGGCGTCCACGGGGAGTCTCGGGACGTGTCCCCTGCAGATGGGGCGGGGGACTGCTGTATGTAACCCTGACTCTAGGACTAAAGCTTTACTCCTCCAAATGGGCTCTAGCTTCCGCTGGTAGTTTGCAAGAACTGCAAAATCTCAGGTCCTGCCCAGAACCTGCTGAATCAAAATCTGCGTTTTAACAGCGTCCCAAATGGCTCCCATTAACATCAGAAGCTCTGGTTTAGAGAACAGCAGAAGTCTTCAGGAAGACCCTTTACTTCTCACCTAGGCGCAAAAGCGTCTCCAAAGACGTTGTCGCCATAATCATCAAAACGGGCGCAGAGACACCCAGGGTGAGCCGAGGGTGAGAGCTTCTTTTACCCTACTCTGTACATTAGAATATTGTCCGTCCGGGTATGAAAAGCTAGGGTCTTGAAGGCGCTTTACTTGGGACCCCAGATGTAAAAAACAAAACGATTAAGTTCGTGGACTCAGGTCAGGAGCAAGGGTCCCCACCCCTCTAGCAGCACTCTTCCCAAAGATAGTGTGTTTCCATCCAGCTCATTAATGTGTGAGGATGGGGAAGGATTAAAGTCCATAAAACCCTAATCTTTATGACTGGAGAGCTACCTTTATGCCCATAGCCCTGGGCCCTCCCTCTGCCTGTCTTCTCAACTACTACGCTGGTGAGAAAGACCACGCTGGGGCTGAAGTCTAAAACTACACTGTCCACCACGATGGCCACTAACTTAATTAAGTAGAATTAAAATGCATTAAATAAAATGAAATTTCCAGTTCCTCTGTTGCATGGGTCACACATTTCAAGTGCTCACTAGCCGTATGTGACCAGAGGCTATCACATGAGACAGAGCAGATATAGAACATTTACATCACTACAGAAAATTATATTGCATGGTACTCGTCTACAAAGATTCCCGAACCCCACCTTAGATTTTAGTGCAACTGGCAAAAATCTTAGAAATGAAATTTACGCACACCACTCTACACAGCCATATTGATGCTCAATGATGTTCAATACAGACATCATATTCCAACGACTTCTACAAGGGTTCCACTGCTCGGAGTCTTTGGGAAATACACTACCAGAAGACTCCAACTCGCTAGCTCGTCCTGACAACTGTCATCCTCCTCTTCTCCAATTTCTATTTATCAGTTTCTTTTGCCTTTTTTGACTCAGGGTTTCCCTATGGTCTTTCAACACTCTTCTACACGGCAAGAAAAAATTCGTGGTTGACAGTCCGGAAAACTTTAAAGTAATATCCAATAAGCTTACCAACGCAGGCTGTAGGTTTCATGGCATCCACTGTCATCACAAACTACTCAGTGAGACAAATGGCAGCCTTGGAACAAGGCACATTCCTCTTGAATGTGCTTTTCTTCCCATGAGAGTATAATTGAATTCTAATAGGTAAGAAGGGAACTGGCTGCTATTCTACTGAATCTCTTCTCCCAGTTCCAAACCTAGGCCACAAATTTAGTTGGTGAAGGTGGAGACAGAGGAAAGGAGAACAAGACCCTGTCTCAAAACTGAGATGCTTT